GGCCCCCACGAGAAACCGCTCGTGCCTCCTGCCCCCCACACTGTCACCTTCCCCCCCAAAACGTGACACCCCCCCCAGGCACCCTCAGGCCGCCCGGGCGAGCCCTGGGGCACCGCTGCGGGCAGGAGCGCAGCCCATCCGAGGAAACGGCAGCGAGGAAACCCGGCTCTGCCTTTGCTCTAGGCAGCCTGGGTACCGGTAAATAAATGCAACTGTTCCAGACAAATGCAATTAAAGTTGTCCCTGCCCCTGCAACGGGCAAGAAGCCTCAGATGGCTCGCTGCGTGTCTTTTAAAGTCGGAGCGGCTGATGCTTACGCAAAAGGTCTCCTCCAGAGGATGGATTTATAAATATTTCACCTACTTTAGGGAAAGGCTGGTAATTTTTAGAACACTCTTCCCAGGCAAGCCAGAGCTGCTGGAGTTGGGCCATGATAGAGGGGCAGTTCCTGGCCCTGCTGCATGCCGGGTACCTTTTCATGCCGGGGGAAACACATGGATGCTCATGTGATCCCTGAGCCGTGCCTCTGGAATGCTGCTCCGAAGCCTGCAGGTGCTCATTTCCACCTAGCCACAGTTTAATGTTTAGCTAATGCAAACTGTGTCCAGCTCTCTGCTCTGGGCATCAGCGGGAGCCTTCCCTGAGTGCGGTGGGGAGGCTTTTGTCCCCTCTCCCCTGGACAAAGTGACCAAAGTGACTGTGCAGGGACAATTGCAATGGGTTTCAGGTGGGAAAGGGAGCCCTGATGGCTGAAGGGAAAACACCTGTGGTTGGAACCCACCTGCACCTGGAAGCAATTAAGCAAGTGCAGCTCGGCTGCCTGGAGGGATCCAGCAATGCTCTTACCCGGCTTTACGGATGGGGAGACTGAGGCCGGAAAGGGATGAAGTGATTTGCTTGCGGACGCAGAATGAGTCAACAGCATGACGGGAAATGGGTCTATCCTTATATCTCTGCGAGCATCTGTTAACGGGCCCTAAGGCAGGGGCCTGGGAGTGTTTGAGAAGTCCTGCTACCCAAGACTACCTCAGGTTCTCATTCCCCATCTGAAAGTGGGGACAAAACAGCGTGCAGGAGGCATGAACGTCCTTGCATGAACCAGCAGCTGCCTTTGCCCCCAGCCTCCTCACACTGGGTGTAATTCCCCAAGAAAAGGGCTGTTGTGCCTTGTTGCGGCTCCCCAGGGGGGTTCTGCCCAGGTCACGCTGTGCCACAGCTCATCAGCCCCTCAGCCCTGGCCCCCTGGTTATTTCTAAGTGTTTTTGGGCAAAATGGGTTAAACTCCATCCTACTGCAGTGCAAGTTGCCAGGCATTTTACACATACTCTGCAACTCCCCTGAAAAAACTTGGAAATAGTCCGTTTTCTGCAAAACCTGAAATGGAGCAGCCCTGAGAGAGGAAATAGCCACAACTCTTCTGCTGACAGTGGCAGGATATGGACTACACGGACAACTTTGTTCTCGTGATGCCAAATGGCTCTTGAGGAGGCCTATTAGGGGTGGCCAGATGCTCTGTATCTGAGACAAGGATCAGCTTTAGAGCAGCAGAGAGGGAGCCAGGAGACCTGCAGTCTACTTTCCACTTCCATTACTCCATCACCATAACTTGATAGCATTGGCAGTCTGCGCCTTGGCTTCTCCAGCTACAAAATGGCTGCATGATGTTTTCTGTGCTTTTTTTAAAGCTCACTGCATGCACACACTAAAAAGGCAGCATCTAAGTATCAGGGGTTGCAATTATTAGGACAGCCCTGGCCCCAGCTACAGCGGGTGACCCCGCTTTGCTAAGCAATGGCCTAAATGCCAGGGTGCTGCTTCCAGGAATATCAGGTTGTTTTGCCAGGGATAGCACAAACCATGCAAGATATGCTTGCAAATAAGAACTGAAGCGTAGGTGGGTTAGTCAGCACAAGAACACACAGATCCATTCTGGCTCCATATACTGAAACCCAGATCCTCAGAGGTAGCTCATAAAAATGCAAGCCATAGGATTAGGAGTATATGCAATCCCAGAATTAGCTTCACGAGGAGGCATTTCAGGCTGTTTTCCAAACTGAAATCTATGTTGTACTTGCAATGAATTAAACACCCACATTTCTGTGCTTGCTGCAAACTGCAAAGTGAAATCATGAATGAGTGAACAGCAGAGCTGCCTGATGACAGGCGGCCGCGTCACCCTGGTGCCAACGCTGCTCAGAAGGACCGGCCGAGCACTGCAGAAACACCCTCCTTTTGCTTCCTGTGTCCTCGCACATTCTTCCTGGTGCAGCAAGTGGCACAGCAGGTTTTTTTTTTTTTTTTTTAACAGAGGCCAATTATATAAGATTAATGTTTTCAGCTAATGGATCAATTACCTATTTAACATGTTAGGGCTTGGTTTGCAGCAACTGCTTCACGGAGCATGAACCCCAAAGCCCCATTTTATCAGATTTGCTCTTGTGATACTGGCATAATTTCCCTTAGCTCCATAAAGTGGGGCAATCAGCTCCAGTAACAGGTTTGCTAAGATGTGCGGGACCAGGGCTACCAGCTCCGCCTAGGAAGGGGCTCGGTGCTCCATGAGCTGCTGGTCTCTCCCAGTGTGTGGGATTGGGATAGCGGGTATTTGGGAAGATTCCCATTGCTCTCCAAGCAAGTGGTTGGATTATTCCTGGCTGTGCGAACCGTACTCAGCAATCCCGGCTGGATGGGCTGGGCATGGGCAATAGCAGCACCTTAAAGGGCTCTCAACCTCATATAATTTGGGGGCAAGAGTTTCAAAACATGCTGTGTTGTTTGGCAAGCCCGGCTCCACCTTAGGTCAAACATTATCCTGAGATCTCAGCCTAGTTATTACAGACATTGCAATGCTTGTCCGGGAGGAGGAAGCGCTCACCTACGTGTTTTCCTAACGTCCAACTGAAATAATTCAACACGCCCACTCCATTTTAGCTGGAATCAATATGCTTCCTCCTTTGCCACGCTAGAACTGCCACACAGGGATCTGCAAGAGACCCAGGGAAACAGTCAGACCGACCTCCTGAAATGCTCTGTCACTTAACCATGCAAGCTAGTCACATTGGGGACAGTCGATATCACCCCTGCTTTGCAGAGAAATGCTAAGAGACCCGGGAAGCAATTACTGGGGTCACTTGAGCAGGCTCATGAGGCATCCCAAGGCATCCCTAATGAACACGGAGCTCCTGGCTCGGAGCGGATGGTGCCATCCTGACTCCTGAGAGCTCCGGGGTGCAGAATGTGGCTCTCGGCCGCTCGGCCGCATTCCTCCGGACCCGATGCCGGCCCTGCCGCACCGGAGCAATGCGGAGCAATGAGCCGGCACACGGGGGAACTGGTTTGACAACAGGTTGTCACCGGGGGCAGCTTGTCACCGGGGCCCTGCCCACGCTGGTGGCCACCTGGCTCCAAGGGTGACTCACATGGGCTGGGCTCTCACCAGAGCGTTGCCCCGTCCCTGCTTGGGGACCAGGTCCCCAAACTGTCCCCATTTCCACCCCTGGCTCTTCCCAGGATCAGACAGGGGGCTGGGGTTCTTTCCAGCAATCCCTGGGTCACGGAGAGCTGGGCTCATCCAAGGTGAGCAGCTCTGACCACACGGAGACCTTCTGCTCCGAGGGATTCTGAGGAGCAGGACATCCCTGTCCCTCCACAGCTCTGCCCTTGACGTGGTTTGCAACCCCGGGCAGGACATGCACCTTCTGCGCCTTATCTGCCCCACAGGCTTATGGCAATATTTGTTTAAGCCCTTCGGACCCACACAAGGGACTACAGAAACATTTTCCTCTTGCGTACAAGTTTCTTTTGTTTCATTTGTTTCAACTCACTGGAAAGGTCAGGTAGAGGGAACCTCCCCCCGCAGTCAATCTGTTCCAACCTGGGAATCCAGTCACCACAGTCCAAGAGCAGGAACCGATACGGAAAGTCGCTCCTCTCTGCAGCCCATAGTGGTTTTGATTCCCCTGGGGACAGTGCAGGGCTGCAGCAAAGCCCAGGGCAGGACAGTCTGGAGAAGCTCAGGCCAATGGTGCAAAGCGGAAAATAAAGATCAAGGCAGCAGCAAGGCAGCCTCCGAGTCCTCTACGCAGGCATTAATTCAAGCACCAAACCTCAAACTTTAACAACCCTGTCCCGAGCCAGGCCCTGCAGAGCTGCACACATTGGCTTGACCAGGAGGAACCCGAAGTTTTTATAAGGGGTTTCATCGAAAAAAAGATTCCCTGAAAAGCATAGGAAAACTGCTGTGGGGAACAAGAGGGGAAAGAAAATACCCACTTTAAGGTCCGAGCAGCCTCCTGGCCTGCTCACCCCATAGCAAATCAACTTACCTGCACAGGGAAGGTACTGCACCCCCGAGACACCACTTCTGCCTATTTGCAGTTCAAAAGCAAACTGGATCCTTATCCTACCAAAAAAGAATAATTATATCCTGCACAAAGCTATCCTGTACCCAGTAAAGTTTATTGTCCGATCTTAGCTTTGGAACAGTCACAACACATCTGTAATATTGCAATAATAGCCTCAGCAAGAATGAGCACATCCACAAAACAGTCCATGTAACATCTGAAATATAAAAATGCAAATATTTTTATAAAACATTCAGACACAGGGTTGATGGATGGATACAATCTTTTATTCTTATGATGTATCTTTCCATTTATTCCAGAAAAACTTTCTATAAAAAAAATCATTCCTCCTTTTGGAATAAATCTTTAAAACCATTTCTTTTAAAAGGCATCTTCTGACCCTAGTTAAATGCTAGTTAAATACATTATTGGCAGTCTGCAAACGAGTCGCACCGGAGAGCATTCGCAGTGCCTGTACCCCGGCCGCTCGGGCTGACCTTGCTGCTGGAGGACAAGCGCGATGCTTAGGATGGAAGAAGGCGATGGAGAAACCAGAACGTTCCCGAGGATGTTCCAGAGCGTGGGACTGGGGTTTTGCGCCTGTTAGCCCCTGTCACTGCTAGCGGGGCTCAAAATGCAGCTCGGGGGAGGCCTGGGAGTGCAGGGCTGCACCAATCTGCTCACGCAGAGGATTTGGCATGCGAGAGGACGGCCCTTTCAACTCGAATTCTCATGCAAACCCTTGCAGGACTCCTCCTCACGCTGGGTGCGGGCTGCATCCTCCGGTTAACCCACGGGCACGGATTTAGCATGTACTTACTGTGATCAGACACTTGCCACAGGAATGGCCATCGTGACTAAGCCCCTGCTCCCCCAAAACACCTCTCTGCACCAGGGCCAGGCGTCCGGATGGAGAGTCTGCTCCCGGCTGCAGGCTCCCACCTCTTCCAATCTCTTCCCTTACTCTGGGACACACAACCAACCCCCTAAATCTGTTGATGCTTTTCGCTCCAGCAGACTAGACCAGTTCTCCGATGTCTTCCCACCTGTCTGTTCCAGCCTGATCCTGGGAGCTCTGGGTTTTACAATAGCCTAGTTTCCGACCAAAGATATGTCCTGGGAAAACACACAAACAAATTAAACCAAACACTTGGGAAGCTTGGGAAAATGGTTTTCTATTTTTAATTCACCGTGTGTTAGGGGAGGGAAAAAACACCTATTATCTCCTTCGTTTCCAAGATACAATGTAGTTTTGTTATTTAAAATCTTAACATAGATCTGGCAATGGGCTGGGCCAGGAAAGGCGTGTGCCTATTTCTATGGAGAGAATAAAAAGAAAAAACTGCCTGTAAAGTTTTATTGTTGTCCTGTAATGCAGACCTTGGTACTGACATTATTTTACTTGCATTTCTTTAATTAGCTATCAGCTGGAGAGATGGAAGAACGCAGCCTTTCCTGAGAGCACATCCAAACTTCATTTTCCATCCGAACTGGCAAAAATAAAAATTGCAAGAAAAAACGTCTGGAAGACAAGCAACAATTTCTTTTTGTCAAAACTCCCTATCTGTGCAAAAGTGCCAGCTACATGGTGAAGCTGTTGATGGAGAACCCACAGAATGACAAAATGAAAAACAGAAATTCCCGAGCACCACCGAAATTCCCAGCATTTTCATTAGTGCTACTTTAAAATCCAAATTTGGAACCGTCCATTGCTCCAAATGCTCCGAAAAGCCGGCACTGTTGGCTGGCTAAGAAAGCTGAGCGCGAGAGCAGCAGCCAAAGCTGCAAGAGCAGCCGGGACCTTGGCAAAGACGCGGGCTCCTCGCTGGGGTTTCGGCGAGGGACGACGAGGGGCATCGCTCCGCATGGAGCGTTTGCAACCCGCTGGACACCTTGGTGTTGAGTTCTGCCCTCCCGAGCCCTCCCTGGGCTCCGTGCAGCGGGATGGGAGCAGGATCCAGGCCCTGCATCCCGTTTCTTGGCAGCGGGGCAGGCGGCCGCGGGCACCGCGCCACGCGAGCCCGGGCACCGCGCAGCCAACACGTGCAAGCGCAGGAGCACGGGGAGCTTATAAATCCAGCCTGGCTCTGCGGGGTGCCAAATATTTACACACGCTATTGCTCTCCTGAATAGGAATCAAATATCCACTAAACGCGGTGGAACAAAAGGGGTTATCTTAAACTCGGGCTGTTAGTAGCGCACAGGGCTAATAAATAATATGCCTCTGCACAAAGATCTCCTTCAGGACAGACCCAAAAGGCAAAGACTGTGAAAGAATAAACAGCAGCTCACAGGCCCTTTCTCCTTGCTCTCTGACCCTGGGCAAAGCGGTGCTGTTTGCGCAGCGGCTGCTACGTCTTTGCTCCAACCTTTCCCCCCCGTATCGTGATGCTCTTCCAGGAGGTGACTTTGCCTTTCAGGAGCAGCGGGTCCTGCGGGGACAGCCGAAGGACAAGGTGCTCCTGTCACCCCCAGGAGCTCGAGGGGAGCAGTAGCCCCTCTCTGCACGTGCCCATCGTCACCTCTGCCCCACGCGCGCCCGTCACCGGGCCCTGGTCCCCAGCGGTACCTGCCCCGCGGGAACCGCTGCCTCCTTGAGCTGGCTGCCACCGGAGCTGCTAATTCGGGACAGGCGCTGGCTGCCCTGGAAAGCGCAAGTCTGCTGCACAGATCCCTGCTGGGCCAAGGAAAATTCCATGTAAAACGCCTTTGCGAAAGAGAAGATGACAATGTGCGTGTTCAGCCTTACTCCAGCCAGCACCTCCCTCCCTTCTGCTCTTTTAAAAAGCCCCATGCAGCAGGGCACACGAAACCAGGCAAAACACCACTCTGTAGATGTGCCTGTATCAGGGCGAAATGCGTCACTGGTGGCTGGTGGGGCTCTTCATGCGCTCCCCTATTAAATGGAAACAATTAATGAACTATTCAGCCCGCTGTACACTGGACATACCGACAAAGGCACTGAGCAGGGATGGGCAAACCTCAAACAATGCAGACGTCTGGATGCTTGTCTAGGACAAACCCAACTTAACAGCTTTGGTCTGATGGGAGAAGCGCTGAGCTCGGGGCAGAGCCACCTCCTGAAGCCTCGAGGAGATCTGCTGCTTTATCCCCACACTTTGCATTTGCAGAGAGGCGCCAAAATGCCACTCAGCAAAGTGGGAAAAGGGGACAAGGGGGCTCCAAGTCCCTGCTCACTGGGGCAGCAAAGGCATGGAGCGTTTCCACCCCCTGAGCAATGCCTGCCAGGCTGGGAGAGCTGCAGGATGGGCTAAGACACTGGCATTTCCTGCCAGTCCTACTGCCAGTAATGGGGTCACAGAGCCTGTCATGCCCAGAGACTCCCAGCCATTTCCTAGGGCTGCAGGAGTGAAGGGTGAGAGGACGAGTCATCCAGGAGAGCCAAGAAAAAGACGTAAATATTATACAGGAGAAAAACCTCCTGCAGTGCTCACATACTTGAAGACATTTCAGACTGTAAGCTGTGAAGTTAAGCAAGGCCTCTTTGCCCTGGATTTGGCATGTTCCTGAAACATACAGAGGGGAAAATGCACCAGGATCCATCCTCAGCCAGCAAAGCACATTTGGAACTATGCACACATGTCCGTCCCGTTGCATGATCCGGCATTCCATGCAGAAGGATTTCATGATGTCGAGGCCATGCGAAGCGGGTTGAGGGATGCTTTCTGCTCCTCGCTGGGTCTATTTCTGGTCCCACAGCTGAGCTGTGGGAGGTTTGGCACCTCTCCCCCTTCCTCTAGGTAGGGATGCGCCGAGGTGGGTGTGCAACGCTTTGCACAGAGCCTGGAGACGGCTGGGTGGGAAGAGCAGCTCAGATGCACCCGAGATGCTGGGAATCGTGTCCTGTCCCTCGTGACAGCAGAGGACATGGTCATGGGCTAGCAGGGTGGCAGGCTCTGGGGATGAGGAATGGGCTGTGACATCGGTGCCTTGGAAAAGGCTGGACGAAGGTCTCGTCACAGCTTGGTGTGTGTTTGGCCCTGCTTCTGTACAGCTCTACCATCCTGCACTCCAGGCAGGCTCCTGGAACCGCTTTCCCAGCTAGGGTTATCTCCGGAGCAGCCAGTTGGCCGTATTTATAAATGCAATGCTGGCAAGGAGGGGGAGATGTTGGGGGAATCAATGGGAACCCTTTACTCCCAACTGCTCCATCCTTTTGTCAGGATTCAGGTCCAAAGATAGGGAGAGCAAAAGGGTTCCGCAGGCAGGCAAAATGAGGGAGGGCTACCCCATTTTTTGAGTTTCAGGCTCTCCAGTGCCTGTCCATGACCCCAAGTCTTAACGTGGCTGCAAAATGTCTCCCCAGGAGACAGAGGGTGCGGAGGCGGCCGCGTGAGCAAAGGTGGTTGCCAGAGATGCTTGTCCAGGCCAAGGACACTACGTACCAGGATTTGGCCACTGCTCAGCTCTTGGAGGAGCCACCCGCTGCTCAGCAAAGCTCCCCGTCCCCAAGGGCAGCAAGTAGGTCCCCTCAGGGCCAGCACGCGCCCCGAGCTCAGGGCAAATACTCCCTAAAGCACCTGGACAGAGAGTAGCAGCTCCTGTGTGATGAGCACAGCATGAAAACCAGTGAGGAGAGGGGTCACGGGTCTTGTGATGTGTGCTGGGGGCGAGGGGTGGTGGGAGAGGGTTGGGACGGGCAGGGGAGAGCCTGCGGCCACGGGTGCTTCAGCATCGTCCTGCTCGAGGCAATAATTCTTCCATGGGTCAGGTGGGAGCGGGTTGCTGTCTCCTTTCTCAGTGCTTTGATCTCCATGGCGACAACGGGAACACGAGATCCAGGTTTAAAATATACTCTGCCTCCTGTTCTTCCCTCGGGCTGGGGAAGAAAGAGAAAGATGGGTCACAGAGGCTGGACGGCGAGCGGCGCTTTGCAGGGACACCCCCTTGCACCAACGGGTTGCTTCGGGGATGCTGCCCCACAGCACCTGGATGCAACTTGGGTGCAACAAGTCAGGATGCCCCAGGGGTAACTTGTGGCTG